TTCATTCCTCTAACACTGGGCATAAGCCTCGATGCTCTCCTCTGCACTGTCTCTATATCCTGGACAGTCCCTTATGCCCTTGGGTGGGTAAAACCTTATTCAAGTACATTACTACACACACCTCTGTTTACTAACTGTAAGTATGAACCCAGTTGTTAGTCGATTGACGGATCGCTTTTCAGGTGTAATAATCCCTTTTTTAAAAAAATGGGCACTTAATCCATGACTGTTTGTGCGACATCGCTGTGCGAGATTAGCTGCTACGTGTCACCCACAAAATCCAGTCAATATACTTTACAATGTATTCTGTGAAGCGCTTTGAGACATCTCAATGACATGATATGATATCAAATGCAAGGATTCTTCTTCTTCTTCTTCTTATTGTTGTATCATGCATGTGAATCCTATTCTTAATTCCTATATGGAGTAGCTTGGCTTTCCTCCAGATAAAACCAATCATTCACTTAACAGCTGTTTGTGGGACATTGCTATGTGCAAATTATAACATTCACCTACGAAGTCCAAGTCACCACACTTTACAGGAAAGTTTGTATAACATTTTGAGCTAAATACAACATTTTAAGCTGCTGTAACAAATGTTAGAATTATTGAGATATCTGGTGGTGGAATTTGATTCTACAGAACAATAAAGGGACTTGATAAATCCAGAGCAGGAATATCGTTGGGGTTGGAGGTGACTGTAGGGAAGCCAGCACCAGCACATGCACAATAGGATGAATGGCCTCCTCTGTGATGTGCTGTAAATTCTGTGTTGTGACAGCTGAGCTTCTTTGAAGACAGTCCTTTTACTGGAGTCATACTGATTGTTAATCCAACACTGCAATGTAAAAAGCAAACCATTTACCTACCAGATTGGATGACAAATTGGTTGGCTGGTTGGACTATTGTCTGTATCACTGCCTGGCTTTGTCGCTGCTTAGTTAAAGATGTTTGGTAACTGAGTAACCTATAATGACCAGCATCTGCTCTATAAATGTTTAAAACATGCTTCTTGCACTTTGAAGTTTACTGCAACCAATGAGGATTTTCACTATGAACACATGAAACCATAAGTTCCTCCAGAGCTTGTCTGAGATGAATGTCTTGGTGGAAGATTCATGATATCTGTAAACAACAACAATTTATATTGATAACAAACCCATCAAGTTGGGAGGAACCACAGTTAAACTGTACAAGGAAGCAAGTGCAAAGGTGGTGAATCAATTGAAAGATTGTTATTGGTAAGATTGAGAGGATATGATGCAAGTCCAGAAAGTGCTGAGGACAGCACATGTACAGTCACGGCCAGTTACAGTGCACCAGGCCATTCAGCCCACTGTGTCTGTAAGCGCTCTGGGACCCCACCCCGCGTGAAGGACGCTATATAATTGCATGTTGTTGTTGTCCTGCTGCTGCCTCTTCACAGGAGCTATCAGCTCTGATCCCATAATCCCCCACAAACACACAGTTACTGCACTTTACAGTGAAGTACGCCTCACTCAGCCAGTCAGGAACCTTGGCTTGTTTAACCTCAACTGTCCTTTCTCCTGCATCTCTACCATGACCCGCGCTGCCTTCCCCCATCTCCGCAACAATGCCCGGCTCCTCCACTGCCTCACCCCTCAGGCCGTCGAAACCCTCATTCACGGGTTCATAACATCTGGACTCGACCACACAAACTCCCTGTTTCTTGACCTTTCCAACTTTTCCCTCCACAAGCTGCAGATCATCCAGAACTCTGCAGGTTGTGTCCTCTCCCTATCAGGCTCTGTGACCTAATCACCTCCACCCCCACCTGGCTCCACTGGCTCCACATCCCCCAGAGGATAGAGTTCAATATCCTCGTCCTCGCCTTTAAGGTCCTCCATGGCCTTGCCCCTCCTTACCTCTGTGACCTGCTGACCCCATATCAAGTTGTCCACTCCCTCCACTCAGCATGCTTTGGCCTAATCCAAGACCTCCACTCGGCCTGACCCACCATCACAGGTCGGGCCTTCAGCCTCTCTCCTCCCACCTTTCCAATTCCATTCCAGGTTCCCTTCACCACTCTCCCTCCATTACCTCCTTCAAGGCATGTCTCCTCTTCGACCGTGCCTTTGGCCACCCTCCTATCATCCACCCTCCTTTATCCACCCACACTCCCCTGCTCGGGTCCAAATCTCTGATTGTCCAGTGCTTTGCAACCTCCGGCTGATGTGAAAGGTGCTATATACACCCGCTCTATGCCTGTTTGTGGGACACGGCTGTGTATGAGCTATCTGCTGTGTTTTGTCCACAAAATACACAATAAATCCATTTCACAGTGTATCCTGTGAAGCGCTTTGAGATGTCTTGACAATATAAGTTGCTTTACATCAAGGATTATTACTATCTCCAGCTCCAAACATGAGGAGTTCATTGAGGACAAAACTGAAATGATTCACCTCTTCTCTCCACCTTCTCCCTCTGCCCCCACTGCTCCTACCTGCATACAGTTCTTCCTCTTTCAGGCACCACATTGACCTTCCACCCACCCACCCAGCTCCCCATCACTCAGATCTCCCTCCTTGATTGGAAGGGAATAACGGGAAGTAGTTAAATATTCATAGTTTACAGCATGAGACAGGGGAGAGGGTTTCAGATCCTTGTGGAGACAACGCTGGAGCCAGCAGCACAATGTAGTGGTGACACACAGAATGAATGAAAGCCGATTCTCTCAGCAAATTCAAGAGCCGATGTTCTCTTGTAGAAGTCATTGAGGTGTGTAACAATACAGTTTATATTTACAGTCATGTCAGGGGGACGTCTAGATTGCTTGACAATGCTGGAATGGGCACCAGACTGGAGTGGGGAGGAAAGCATCTGGACAACAGTGATCACAACATAATTAAGTTTAGAGTACTTATGGAAAGGGACCAGGAACAATCAAAAGTAAAGCTACTCAACTGGAAGAGGCTAATAAGAGTGAGTTGAAAAGGGATCTAGCCATCCCGGGTTCTGGAGTGCAGTAAAAATGTTCATTTTCAGATGTGTTGTGACAAAGAGATTCTGAACTTCTTTTCAAATGTTGGGAAAGACCAGGACTAACACCGGCAACACACAGCAACAGCATCCCACACTCCCATCCTTGGTAAGAGTTAAGGAGCAGAAGAGGAGCTGTTACTCTGCTGTGTGTTTACTATAGACCACCAAATAGTGGGAAGAAGATAGAGGAGCAAATCTGCAAACAGATTTCAGAAAGATATAAAAACAAGAACAAAATTACATTTGTATAGTGCCTTTCACATGGGGAGGACATCCCAACAATACAGTAGTGGTAATGGGAGACTTCAATTACTCAAACATAGACTGGGAAGAAAACAGTGTAAAGGGCATGGATGGGGAAGAGTTCATAAAATGTGGCAGGAGAACGTTCTGGATCAGTATGTTTGCAGCCGAACAAGGAAGGAAGCAGTGCTGGATCTAGACCTGGGGAATGAAGTGGGGCAAGTGGAGCAGGTTTCAGTAGGAGTGCACTTGGAAAATAGTAATCACAACATCATTAGATTTAGAGTATTTATGGAAAGGGACAAGGAGCAATCAAAGGTGAAGATACTCAACTGGAAAAGGCTAATTACAGTGAGTTGAAAAGGGATGTAGCCAAGTGGGACTGTAAAGAAAGATTGATGGGTAAAATGGTAAACGAGCAATGAGAGGCATTCAAGGAAGAGATAGTTATGGTGCAAAGCAAACACATTTCCATGTGGAGAAAAGAAGGGTGTCCAAAGCTAGAGCTCCCTGGATGACTAAGGAAATTGGGATTAAAATGAAACTGAAAAAGGAGGGTTATGATAAATATCATGTTCAAAATACATTAGAGAATAAAGCAGAAGTGCAGTTGGTGTAGTGCATATGGATTTTCAGAAGGCATTTAATAAGGTACCACATGATAGACTTGTTAGCAAAATTGAAGCCCATGGGATAAAAGGGATAGTGGCAGCATGGATATGAAACTGGCTGGGAAAGCAGAAGGTAGTGGTGAATAGTTGTTTTTCAGACTGGAGGGAAGTATACAGTGGTGTCCCCCAGGGAATGACTTGAACTTGGGGATAGAGAGCAAAATTTCTATGTTTGCAGATGACACAAAACATGGGAACGTGGTAAACAGTGAGGAGGATGGTAGCAAACTGCAGGAGATCAGAGACACTGGTGAAATGGGCAGACACAAGGCAGATGAAGTTTAACGCTGAGCAGTGTGAGGTGATGCATTTTGGGAGGAAGAACGAGGAGAGGCAATATACAATAAATGGTACAGTTTTACAGGAGCAGAGAGACCTGGGGCTTCATATACACAGGTCTTTGAAGGTGTCAGGAAGGTTTTTCCACCACCTTTCAGGCAATGCATTCCAGACCATAAGAACATAAGAACTGTTAGACGATAAAAGTCCAAGATCCATCTAGTTTGCCTTCCACCTTCCTGGCGGTCGCAACCATAACAACTCTGTGTAAAACAATTTCTCCTTATCTCCCCTCTGGTTCTTTGCCAATTATCTTACAACTGAATGCCCTGGTTAGCAACCCATCTGCCAGTGGAAACCATTTCTCCCTATCTACTCTATCAAAACCTCTTAGAATTTTGAACATCTCCATTACATCTTTCCTAAACCTTAACTAGATAGGAATAAGGGGCTGTCAGCATGGACTGTAAAGGGCAAATCGTGTTTGACCAAATTGATAGAGGTCTTCAAAATAGCAACCAAAGGGTAAAGCTGTAAATGTGTGTGTGGATTAGTAGAAGGTGTTTGATAAAGTGCCGCATGAGAGACTGTGGTTGACATTCAGGGCTCGTGGGATGGGGGATGGTGGCGGTTTGAATAGGGATGTGGATGTGTTGGGTTTGAAGGTGTGGACAGCAGTGGAATTAATCACTCTGTTGAAGCCTGAGGCAAAAGGTTTGTCGAGAAAAGACCATCTTATTCTGTTTAGAAATGTCAAAATCAGAATCTATGAAGAGAGGAACCAAACCTTGTACTTTATGTTTAAGAATTATTTTTAATTACTAAGGCAGAAATAGATATAACTTCACATTGATTCAATAAGCAGGTTACAGCAGGCAGGGTATGGTAGTCAATATTGTGCTGTTACTACAGAAACACATTCACTTCTTCTTTCTCAGCCAATTTAACTCTTCATGTTACAAGGCACAGCTCACTGACATATTTTAACATCTTATCTGTAGTGACACCAGCTACTCCATAACATCTGTCACACTTAGAGAGATTCTGCAACTCAGTTTGATGAAGTTTGATTGTCGTTCCACAGATCAGTCAGTCACTAGCTAACAAGCATAAGCATATTTACCTGCACTGAAACAATAATTTAAACACAAATTCATTTCTGATCACAACGGTTGAAGGTTAGGAAGCAGAGATTGGGGATCAAAGCATGTTTTCCCGCTTGGTGGCAGGTAATTAATCCAATTCCTCCCTTGTTTGTACTTGGTCTAAGGAAAAACGAAATCATTTTCTACAGGTTTATAAAACTCTTCACATGATCGTCTCTCAGACTCCATCATATTAGCCACTTCTCGTATTTGTTGAGCAAATCCTGACTTGGCTCTTTTGCAACAGTTAAGGATATTCATTATTGCAGAGGCCACATCGCACACAACAACTATTGCTGAGAGAAACTGTAAAACAGCCCTCAATGGGTTTACCCTGCGGGTGGCCTTCATGTCGACAATGAGGGGAAAAACACCCGAGCTACTGGAGAACATCTCAGCTTTACCAGTGTCTCTTCCTGATTTCATGAACAATTGGATTATCCTGTTTAGTTTATTGTAGCAATCCGCCATGGCTCTGCTGTCTGTTTTATATTGTTCTATTATTCCATTCACTCTTCTCACTTTCTCTGTTTGTGAAGCAGTGATATTGCCACGAGCTACAGAGATAACACCAGTCCCGACTGCACCCATTACAACTCCCATAAGCTCTAACCCGAGTATGAACTCCAATCTTTCTATCATTTTGTCCCCTAATGTTGTGCCAGTGATTATTCCCGCAATAAACAGTATCACTCCGGCAGGACGCAGTATGGAGCCCACAATGATCTGAGCTGTGTCTGATCTGTGAAGGTTGTCGATGTGGTCCGCAGCCTCTCGCAGTGCTCTCAGGTGTCCTCTCACCTGTTCCCTCCAGTCAGGGAGCTGTGCTTTAAAGCTCTGCACATCATCAGTCCTCTTTGCCATCTCAGTGAGGAAGGCTTCCCTGTGAACACAAACACAACCAACTCTCAGCTACTGCCCACATCACACACAGCACCAGACACAGGGAGCCCAGTGGGGTCAGGGCAGCCTTTCCCACAGAGGAAAGTCGTTACAGATTTCTGGAGAAAAAGATTGTGTGTTCTCAAGAGGGCTGAAGGCACCTCTGTCTCTCTCTCTCTGTCCCCCTTCAATCAGTGGCCTTTGACTCTGTATTTAGTCATTTCCAGCAGCTCAAAGGAAATGAGGGAAGTTAAAAAGAGTTGGTCACATGATTGTTTTATTATTCAATCTCAGTCTCTAGATTTCCTTAATATGCCATATAATAATATGTTATTTTATTGTTATATTTACTATCATAATAATTTAGTTTATAATTTATAAATAATATTCATATTTATATTATAAATAATATCTATAAATAATAATATAAATCTGATAAACAATCTAAATATGTAAATAAATACATTTATAAATTAAATAATTAGAATTTATAAGTAAAATTAATATTGCAAATTATTATATTACAATTTATATTATTTTATGTAATTTTATATAATTATCTGACATTAAACAACATCTGCCAGCTCTCAGCCCAATTCCCCAATCTAACCATCTTCCGCTTCTGTGTACGTGTCCTGTTATCAATAACCACTCAATCCGGGATTCGGGTTTAACCCCCAATTGTAGACCATTACCATGAAGTAACCAGCAGCGAACCCAACATTGAGCCCTGGGCACCTGCCAGTCACTGGCGACATCTCACTGTGCTCCGGGAACCACTGCCCTTTACTTCCTCTGATTCAGGAAACTTCTTATCTACTTTACATGTCCGTCTATCCTGCTGACACTGACGTGTGTGGAGCCAGGAACATCCCCCACCCCCCAACCCCATCTCTGATACTGGGTGGGGTGGGGGATGGAGAGGGAGAGAGAAATTAAATAAATAGCCATTCAGACAGAGCCAAACGAGAACGAGAACAATATCAGGCAGTTTTATCAGAAGTTGTCTTACATCTGTACGTACCTGACCTCGGTGTTGCTGACTGTGTCTGTTAAACAAGAAAGAAACAAGAGCCATTATCACTGGTTATTATCAGATGTTAAATGATCAACTTGTGACTATCTGCCGTGTGGTGTGTGTGAGGGGGTAAGTGCAGTCTCTTCAGAGCTGAACTGTCTCCAAGGTGACGTGTTTGCCAACAGAATGTCAGTATCGAGCCCACCCTCTGTTACAGTCTCTGAAGCAGGTCCTGAGGAGCTGAGTCCGCAATATTTCAGACCACTGCTGATGACAGCTCATCCCAGCCCGGCTCATCAGCAGGACTTGGAGGGGCAGAGTGGCGGCAGTAACCAAACAGCTCCTGTTAACCTTGAATGCCTTAACGGGTGAGGTTGTACCAGTCTGGCAAACAACGGGAAAGCTTTCAATTGCACGCTATGTGGGTTTATCTGGATAGACTCTCAATATGAAAGGCACTCTGTACATGTAATTTTGTTGTTGTTGTTGTAGACTCCAGCAGTTAAAAGGAGGGGCTCGTTAAACTCGGGGTCGCTATTCGCCTTTAGATCATCAAGGAGGTACGTGCCTGACCTGAGAGCCTTGTCTCCAGGTCAAGATTGTTTTTTCTTTGTTCACTAACTTTGGGTAAAGCTTCTCGTGTCATAGTCATTGTTTTTTCTTGATGTTGTGACCATTTATCTTATATCGGGCAGTGTAAGTGAGGTAAAGGGCTGTTAGGACCAATAAAGCACCATTGTCTTTTCTAAAAAGTGCATCTCGAGTCTCTATTAAATTCAATGAGGGAGAGACACAAACATGTTACTGTGGAAGCCACTGTCTGTTAGATGCGAAGGGCACCTCCTGAAGCATCCCATTGCTGGTTTATAAGACATTGGGATTACCTGTAATTGTGTTAATTCTCACCTGATGAAGTTTCACATAGAGAGGTGCAATCCCTTCACTTTGACACACACTGTGCCAGCCTTGCTCTCTCCCCCTCACACACATCACAAGATTATTATTTGTTTTGTTCAGACACAGACAGTTCTGATATCTTCCTGCACCCACCCTGAATATTATATCACTGGAACCTGCCTCAGTGGCTGCACCTGAGTCCTGTGTGCAATACATTGATGCAGTACCTGACAGGAAAGGCACTATACACATGTAGTTTGTTGTTGTTACTGTACCTTCCAGATGTTTATAAACCTCTTCATACGCCATCACTTCATTCTCCATCACTTCAGCCACACCGTGAATATGTTTAGCAGCATCTGCCCTGGTTCCACGGTTGAGATTATGACCATCGTTTGCTCTGGAGATCAGAGATGATATGAAAGGCAGCCTTGTCTGAGCTGCTGACCCGGCCTTGGATGTCACCGACACCTGTTTGTTCATTGTTTCAGCCACAGCAGCAAATACAGCCAAGTGTTCAGTGTCAGCTCCACCAGGAAATGTGGTTTCTGATTTCTCACCATAACGTTTCAAGATCCGAACTGCTCGTGAGAGTTTTGTGTAACACTCTGCCATTTCTCTGCTGTCCTTTGCATATTGTTCCATGATATCATTAACCCTTTCCTGTCCGTATGTTTGGGTTACAGTGTCCGTGTCACAAGCTGCAGTGTTGTCAGCCCCACCAGCCACACTCTGGCCAACTCCCACTCTCGGGCCAAGTTTGTGAATCAAGTAAATGTCGTCTGCGATCTCTTGTAGGTCTCTGATGTAGCTGATCATCCACACTCTCCACACAAGGAACAAGGTGACAAAATCCTTCACATCCTCCTTCCTCTGTTTAACCTCAGCTTTGAAAGATATCCTGTAAATATTAATAACTCAATTAGACACCCAGCTCAGAGGAAGGACATTTGACCATCATGTCTGTGCTTCTCTGTGAGATTTATCAAATCAATCCCATTAACCCATGCTTTCCCCATCCACGTCTCTGCCTTAATCCTTTGATATGGTGGCACATGGGCTGGTAACTGGCAAATAACATTTAATACAAGTTTAGAGTTGTAATTTCAGGACAGACACCTGGAAGTTTTCTTTGCACAGAGAATAGTTAACAACTGGAATAGAAAGGAGTTTGAGGGCAGAACACTGGATTAGTTTAATCCACAAACGTTTCTAGGAGACTGCTGTGCGCAATTGACTGCTACGTCTTATGTACGAAATACAGTTACTACACTTTACAGTATATCCTGTGAAGTGCTTTGAAACATCTCGAAAATATGATGAGGCACTATATCAAGTGCAAGGATTATTATTATTATTGTCATTATTAATGTGCAGAGCCGGCCAGCTCACTGTCTGCACTGCCTGGTTCCTGCGCTAAACAAGACTGACATCATCATCTCAGCATCATTCATCAGCTCAGCAGGGAGCGGTGTGATCAGACTGTTAGCCCCGACTGTTATCATTCAGTGCTCAAGCTGTCCAGCACCTCAGGACTCTGCACTGTTTTATAAGCTTGTGTTCAAAGCCAGGGTGGGGTCAGGGAGGGGAATGGAGAGAGAAATAAGATAAAGAATCAATCAGACAGAGCCATGTGAGAATGATTGATTCATTCACAATATCCGGCAGTGTATTCAGCAGCTGCCTCACATCTGTACGTACCTGTCCCCGGTGTCACTGACTGTGTCTGTTGAACAAGGGAGAAACAGGAGCCATTATCACTGGTTATTATCTGGTACCAACAGAGTGAACAGACACAATCCTGACTGATACAGTGACCACACAGGAGGGAATGTCCTCACCACTCGCGGGTAAACAAAGCGTTCTCCCCTCAGCAGCGACAGGAGCAGAGCAGCAATGTGGCAGCTCTACTGCTGTCAAGGTTTGGCTTCTTTCCTGGCAAACACAGTGGGTCACACAGGAACCGCGAGTGGAGAACACTCAACATAACAGAGACTCAGAGGCACAGAAAAATTAATAATAATAATTGTAATAATCTTTCCATTTGATAGAGCATCTTATCACTTTGTTGAAAGTTCTCAAATCACTTTACAGAATATACTGTAATGTGAATCGCCGGCATATTTTGTGAACTGCCAGCAACACAGAGACAATGACTGGAACAGACACACATACACCGTTCCCAACTCCTCCTCTTCCCCCACATACACACAGACACCAGCCCCCACACACACAGAACCACCATGACCCCCCCACACACAAACACGGTCACTGATACATACACACACACAGACACCATTTCCCTTCTCCCCCACAAAAAGACCCTGTCCCCAACACACACAGAAACAGTCCCCCACACACAGACACCATCCCCCACACACACAGACACCGTCCCCCCACACATAGACACCGTCCCCCACACACACAGTCACTGTCCCCCACACGCAGAGAGATTATGGAACTCACTATGTGAATTGATGAGTGAATCATATGGTTGCACTTATGGTAACTTAAGAGAAAGCCAGACCGGCATCAGTGAGAGGGGATTAGAGGGTGTGAGAGGAAGTAAGGAGCGCATGAAGACTTGTGTGGAGCATAAACACCAGCATAGACTGGTTGGGCTGAGTGGCCTGTTTCTGTGCTGTACAGTCTGTATAACTCTACAAAAGTAAAGCAATAAAGCTGAGTTTGTACAAAACACTGGTGAGGCCACAGTTGGAGATTGTGTTCAGTTTGGGACCCTTACATCAGGAAGGCTGTTAACAAAAACAACAACAACAAGATTTCATTTATAGAGCGCCTTTCACGTCGGGAGGACGTCCCAAGGCACTGTACAGTTGGGTCAGGACCCGAGCAGGGGGGAAATGGTCAGGGTGAGGGGAGAGAAGGGAGGGAGCGAGGAGGGGATAGAGAGTCGTGAGGGGAGCTGAAGGCACGGTCGAAGAGAAAGGTCTTGAGACCGGCCTTGAAGGAGGAAAGGGAGGAGGCGGCGAAGGCACTGGGGGATGGAGTTCCAGAGCCTCGGGGCTGAGAGGCTGAAGGCCCGGCCACCGATGGTAGGGCGGTTGGGGCGGGGGATGTGGAGCAGACCGGAGCCAAAGGAATGGAGGGTACGGGCAGGTAAGTAGGGGGATAGTAGGTCAGAGAGGTAGGAGGGAGCAAGGCCATGAATGGCCTTGTAGGTGAGGATGAGGATCTTGAATTCGATCTTCTGGGGGATGGGGAGCCAGTGGAGGCGAGCGAGGGTGGGAGTGATGTGGTCGCGAAGCCTGGTGCGGGACAGTACACGAGCTGCAGAGTTCTGAATGACCTGCAGCTTGTGGAGGGAGGTGCCGGGAAGGCCGGCGAGGAGAGAGTTCCCATAGTCCAGCCTTGAGGTGATAAAGGCGTGGACCAGAGTTTCAGCAGCGTGAGGGGTGTGGTAGTGTCGTAGTCTGGCGATGTTCCGGAGGTGATGGAAGGCGGTGCCAGTTGTGGTGCGGATGTGAGGGAGAAAGGACAGCTCAGGGTCGAACAAAACGCCGAGGTTCCTGACCGGCTTTGAGAGGTGGAGAGTGCAGCCTTGGATGCTGATGCTGTCAGCGCCTGAGGTGCGGAGGCGCTGACGTGAGCCAATCAGAAGGGCCTCAGTTTTGCGCATGTTGAGCTGAAGAAAGTTGTCTCTCGTCCAGGACTCGATGTCGGACAGGCAGCTGTCAGGACATCGGTGGTCGTGGAGTTGAGGGTAGAGGAGGAAAGGTAGAGTTGGGTGTCATCTGCATACATGTGGAAGTTAACCCCATGATGATGTCACCAAAGGGGAACATATAGAGGGTGAAGAGGAGGGGACCGAGGACAGAGCCCTGAGGGACACCACACGAGACAGTGCAGGGGCTGGAGGAAAAGCCATTTGTGTAAACAAAATGAAGACGGTGGGAGAGGTACGACCTAAACCATTCAAGGACAGGGCCTTGAAGGTTGAGGTGGGAGGACAAGCGGTGGAGGAGGATAGCGTGGTCGACCGTATCGAATACGGCCGATAGGTCGAGGAGGACGAGGAGGCAGAGGGAGCCCTGGTCGCAGATGGTCAAGATGTCATTAGTGACCTTGACCAGGGCAGTTTCTGTGCTATGGGCAGCACGGAAACCCGACTGAAGGGGTTCGAATAATGAATGGGTGGAGAGGAAAGAGCGCAGCTGGGAGGCGATGACTCTTTCAAGGACCTTGGACAGGAAGGGGAGGTTGGAGATGGGCCGGTAGCTTGATAACGCCTTGGAGGGGATGTGCAAGAGGTTTACGTGAATCATCCCAGGGATGAGAGGCTTCAGTTATGAGGAGAGATTGGGGATGTTGGGTCTGTTTTTACTGGAGCTGAGAAGGTTGAGAGCTGATAGAGGTGGGCACAATGGTGAGGGTTTAAATAGGGTGAATAGGGAGAAGTTATTCCCACTGGCTGGCAGTAGGTGATCAGGATCCTTCGTTATAAGATAGTCACAAGAAGAATGAAAGAAGAGCTTTGATGAAATTATTTTACCCAGAGAGTTGTTGAGATGTGGAAACTCCAGCTAACTAGGGTGGGAGAAGCAGAGTCCATTGTGGGTTTCCAGAGGGTATTAGTCAGCGATATTATGAGAGAGAGAGAGAGAGAGAGAGATTGAGACTTGTAAATAAGGCAGGGCAGTGGGATTGAATAAACAGCTCGCTCTGAGAGCCAGTGCATGGCCTCCTTCGTAAATTCTATGATTCAGTTGTTCTCTCTGAGGAGGAACTGAAGGGAGAGTTTGAGAATGTTGATGAAAGTTACGATCGAAGAGATAGGATTTTAAGCGAGTGTGAAGGTGGAGAGAGAGGCTCAGGGTGATGGGGTTTCAGACAGTGGGGTTGGGTTTGACAGCTCACAGCTGTCTCTGATTCAGAGGTATGGCAGGAGGTTATTATCTTACTCGGTGCAGTGGGCACAGGATTGCAATAGAAAATTAATATTGTCATCAATTCCAATAGATAAATTACCTGGTGTGAAAATCTCTGCCATTGTGCGAATTCTTCCCTGACGTTGATGATGTTTTTAAACAGCCTTTGGAAAGAAGAAAACCAATGTGAATCCAATCTCTCCCCATCATCAGTGACAATAACCACAGACATTCTGATCATTATGTCAATCGCATCCTATATTTCAGTTTGAATTTAATGTTTAAAACAATTTATTAGCAATCATTGGGATCCAAACCAAACAAAGAAATTCCCAAGATGATTATTGGAATACAATGTGTACTCTCTCCCTGGAGAGACACATTCCCTTACCTAATTCCAGAAAGTAATTTCATTGTAGCTGAAAAGATTGAGAGGGGATGTGATAGAGGTGGACACAATGTTGAGGGTTTGAATAGAGTCAATAGGAAAAAGAAGGTTGCAGAGAGTTCCTGGTACCTGTCATCCACCCAGTGAGTGCTCATACCCACACTTGTTGAATGTCAAACAAGCAAGGTCTCCGTCAGGCTGAACGGGCTCCAAGGTGACTTGTTTGGCATCAGATTGTCAGAATCGAGCCCACCCTTTGTGACAGTTTCTAATCTAGTTCCTGAGGCAGGTGGGTCTGCAATACTCCAGGTCACTGCTGATGACAGTCCAGCTTGGCTGGCAAATCGGCAGGGCTTGGAAAGGCAGAACAGTCACTGGGGGTAGGGAGTCATCCCACTCAGCTCCTGTTAACCCTGCAGCCAAAGCACTAATGTGCAATGTGGTCCAAGCTGGACAAGCATCGGGAAATCTTGACACACAGTGATCCCAATGTGGTTTTAACTGGTTAGACTCCAAAGGTTACACCACCGCACAATTTGGGGTCCCCAAGGCTTGGCTCTTGCCAACCTGCGCCTATTACTTTCTGGAGTTAGGTAAACAGAATGCA